AAAAAAAAAAAAAAAAAAAAAAAAAAGGAAATGGAAAGAAAATAAGAAAGATGTCCCCCATGAGTTCTGGTAACGACATCAGAGACGACGCCACGTGTCATTTCGATTTCCCTCTAGCGCTTGATGCGGTGCCGCAAACCTCGGTCACGCAACAAAAACACCCAGCAACCCTCAGCAAGCCCTTTCCTCTCCGGTGAAACAAGGGTTGCGTAACCTGTTACTCAACCAGCTGGCGTTACGATCCTAACCTCTCTGCGGACCTTCGGTAGTTCCGAAGCACGGTAGACACTGGTCAAGCAGCCAGAATTTCGATATTCGCGCAGTGTCGGGCGCGACAGACAGGCCGGAAGTATGAAAGGGGCGGAGAGGGGGACTGAAACCGGGTGATATTCCGTAACACAGCGGGCGGAAAGAGCAGCGCAGCGTGGGCGACGGGGGGAGGCGAGAGACGAGGCGAAAGGGTGAAGAGAAAATGGCCGGGGGTTGGAGGAGATCCGACGACCCCTTTGATCTAAGTTTCTGGGAATGCAGGCCGAAGGGACAGCGTGCGTAGAGCTGCCGCCCAGGAAGTTGCTGGTAATTTGCTTAGTTGAATTAGATTGTGAATTTTGCACCGCAGTGTTTGAGACCATCGCACGTTCGTCTGTCGTTTCGTCTCTCCCTCTCTCTCTCTCTCTCTCTTTCTCTCTCTCGGCTACCCCTTGGTCTCTTACCCTCGGCCCTTTCGCGCTCCCGCGTCATCATCGTCGTCGTCGTCGTCGTCGTCGTCGACCTTATAATTACTGTTCTATCTTCAGAGAGAAGTTTGCCAATTCGTTGCCGCCGACGGAAATCCGCGCTTTGATCCGCCAAGAAGCGGGCGCCGCTTCCGCCACTTCCCCGCCACCTTCCTCTTTCCATCGCCGGTGTGTCTGAAGACATTTGGCTGGTTCCGCGGCGAGGAGCGGAATCGCGCGCGATTATGCCGGCGCGTGATTTCCGCCGCTTTGATCCGGATGCTAAACGGAAAAGATGATCGCCGCGGAAGGCCGGGGAACAGGGAACGGGGGAGCAGCTGGGAATAAAATTAATCCGACATCAATGGGAGACGCGAACGTAGGGCCCGCGTTGTGGCCTAAGACTTAACTCTCTCCGTTGCTTTGGGTAATTCATAGTTCGAAATAAACGCAAAGTCCTTGCGAAAGGGATAAACGTTTGGCAACGTTTCTATCTCCGACGTTTGATGTCGCTCGTTCGGATTAATCGGGTCGCCGAGGCGACGAGATTTCAGAGGTGGGTTAATGAGATCTGTTTTTCAAATCGCTGCCCTTGGCAAGGCGCAGCAAATTGAAGCAAGTAAAACGGAAAGAAGGCGCTTAGCCGTCTAAGATCAACGACGACCTTTCTACGACAATCTTTCTCCACCGGTACGTATTTGAAAGAGATGCCTTCGTACGAGCGACAACGCTGCCAGCGAGATCGAATTCGCATCGGGATGTGCCCTCTGGAGTTCGTTGCACTCTGTTCGTCGCTTGTGTTCAACCATCTCCCCGGTAACGACCGGTAACGAACCAGTAACGTCGAAAGAAACGAAGGGAGAGAGGAGAAGATGGTCGGACGTTGCGTCGACCCAAATTCCATCATCGTGGAATTCCTGGCGACGCGGTCTTCGTGATTCGCGTGCGGATCGCGATATCGGCAGACGTGCACCTGGCAGGGGGAGGGTTGCAAGACGTAGAGAACTATGGGACGAAGGCATGGGGGGGAGAGGGAGGGGGAGGGGTAAATATGTACAGACACAGAGACAGAGACAAAGACAGAGATACACAGAGAAGCACAGAGGCAGGTAGCGTGCAGGAGATGCACGCACGACGTGCAGTCGGATATAATCCGTTGGAAACGGCGTTCTCGTATGCACGAGCAAGCCGCGCGTACACGTGTGTGTGTGTGTGCACGTGTGCACGTGTGCGCGCGGGTTCGTGGATGCGCGAGCCACGCGGCAACCGTGCGAATCCTATCCGGCGGGCTTCAGGCACGAATGGGGGATCAATGTTTTATCGATATTGCAGCAGACGCGGCACTGATACGTCTCGAGTCGGCCGTCGCGCATATATAGCGCGTGCTTTCTCCCGTTTGCCGGAGGATTTATGGATTAGCGTTTGTTTATCGCCGCTCTTGCCGCCCTCCGGGTTCGCTGCTCGACTCGAGCTACGATCTTTTTTTCCACGACGACGCTGGCTTAGAACCCTTTAACCCTTCTCGTTTCTTCCCGTTTTCTTCATCTCACGTACGAGCGAAATCAACGCATTACGCACGCGGGTCACGAGACATCCAGTATGTAGCAAATCGAGCTTTAATGTTTTGTTACCGTCTATCGATGATGACTCGAGAAACCAGAAATATTTTGACCATACATATTTTCCAATAAACCATTACACGAAGGACGCACAGTACAACCTTTGTACCGAGACGAATTGATCTTCGCTTTTGATCGATTTAGAAATTCCAATTGCGCAGACTGCTTGGCGGCCGCTCGATCGAGTCTTCCAGGTAAGAAAAGTTGAAAAATTTCTGGCAGCGAAAAGGTGAGGGACATGTTTCCTTATTCGAGACAGTCGTCCGGAGAAGCAGCATCGCGCAGACGAAACGACGAGAATTCAGGGGAACGCGGAGCAGCGGAGGTGCTTGAAACTTGGGATTACCCGCGTGCATTGAAGCGAAATCGTGGAAACGCTTGTCTCGCTGCATGAAGCATCGATCAACGTACGCAACGTCTGACTCCGGCTTCCCGACGAGACCCGATGCAACCGTGCTGTCACACAGAGACATCTCGCCTCTCTCCTCCCCAATCCCTTCGGAGGCAACTTAAAAGACGATCGCAATTTTACCGCCTGATCGGCGCGCGGCCCGTATCGAACGCTCGGAGGCTCGCTTGGAAAAAAATTCCAGCTCGCCGCGATTAGGGATGGGGTGTAAACAAAATAGCGACGGGGAGAATAGTCAGAGGCACTTTGCATTAACGCGAGCCAAGAATCCACGACGACGTGTCGCGTCGACCATGCGGGAAACGAAAGTGACGGAGACATTCGGACGAGTAGAACGAGACGGGAGCAAAGTGGCGGAGTAGGAAAGAGAGAGAGAAGGGAAACGGAACGATGCGGGGAGGGATGGGGAAGGGAAAGAAAGCAGAGAGGTTGCCGCCGTCAGGAAACTTTTGTTTAAAATTGGAATTCCTTTGCGGCTCGTTGGGACTAGGAATGCAGATAGGGCGGAGGCGACGAAAACCGTGAGAGTGGATGAGAGAGGACGGCAGGGAAGCGAAAAAAAACGACGCGCGGATATTGTTCCTCCGTCATAACGGGGAAATTTGTTATTGAACGATCAATGCGCTGCGACCACGTCACTGCTTGGGAATGCCTTGCGAATATCTTCGAGCATTGACTCTCTGGTCGCAACTATTTCGAAAAAATAAAGATAAAAACGAGGGGAGAGAGAGAGAGAGAGAGAGAGAGAGGGAGGGAGAGAATAGAAATCGAAATTCTATGCAAGACATCCAAGATATCCAATTTCGCAGTTATAAACCATACGATGATTCAGGAGCTGTCGAGTAGTCAGGAACGCCGATAAATTCCGCGGGCCACAATGTTCTTCGACCAGAGACAAGATCTACATGCCGGCGCTCGAGCTACCGATAAACACATACTATTCGGCAAACCATGGTAGCCGCT